AATCCCGGTGGGTGCTGGGAAAGGGGCACCCCGGGGCCCCATCCTGGCTCAGCCCCAGCCTGCTGCCCTCATCCTCCCCAGCAGCCCCAGCCCTGGCAGCCGTGTTCATCCCACAAGGAGGGGGGGACCTCCTGCCGATCAGGGGTCCCACTCCTCCACCAGTCCCGGCCAGCTCTGGTGCCCAGCGGTGCCACGCACAGCACAGTCCCGATACCCCAAAGCCCTGACCCCCCCCAGGGGTCCCATAGACCCCTCCTGCCCTGGCACGAGAGCCCTCTGTGGTGACTGTCCCCCTTACCACTCACCCCTTGCAGAGGGGCAACCCCCAGGCAGGGCCACGCTGCCCCTGAGCCCGAGGACAGTCCCAGCCCGGCTGGGATGGGGTGAGCCTTGGGTTGGCAGCACTGTACCCCGCTCCCGGGGACTGTGCCTCGAGGGTGAGCCGAGACCCAGGAGAGGGACCAAGGCCCAGGTGGGACTGTGCCAGAGCTCCAGGTGGGCTCAGCAGAGAACCATCCCCTACAGCCCCCCCCAGGGCACGGGGCAGGTTTACCCGGACAGACACCCAGGAAGGGCCATACGCATTCCCCCTGCGCCCCTCAGAGCTGTTTGCCGCTTCCCTTCCCATTTTTACCAGCAGCTCTGCAATGGGCAGAAGCAGGCAGCGAGGGGAGAACAGCACCCACAGCACCCCAGCACCTCGGCTCAGGCAGAGACGTCAGGCAGGCTCCTGGTGCCCTGTGTTCCCTGTCCCCTCCTGGGGGACCGGGCTTGGGCAGCCCCAGGACCTACAGCAGCCTGGGACCGGGGTGCAGAGCTGGGGCGTGGCAGGGCAGAAAGGGACGTACGTGCGTTTCCCTGCAGCCAAGGGAACAGTCCCGGGAGCTGCACGCCTCCCCGAGGAGGGATGCTGCCGTTCGGGCTGGCATCACACAGGAAAATAAATCATCTGCATATAGGTCAAACGTCTAAAAATGTTGACTGGGAGGTACTCAGAGCCCTAATGAGAGGGAAATTAATGAGCCCAGCAGCCCTGGGGAAGCAAGGAGAGCTGTGCAGAAGGCAAAAAACCTGCAATACTTGCACAAAGGAGTGGGGAGCAGAAACGTGCAAACACCCTGGGCAGCCGAGAGCGAGGCACAGGGCTCCAGAGGCAGAATTTGTGAGAAACTTGTGTCTTGAGAGGCTTTTACACAGAATTTTGCCTCTGCAGAGCAGGAGCGGGTGGGAGAAAGGAGCAAAGGGGCTCGGGAGGTGGGAGCCCCAGGGGGAGGCAGGTACTGCGGGCAGGCACCCACAGTGCGGGGAGGGGGGGGCCCGCGCCTCCGCCATGCGTCCCGCAGGGTGACAGACCCACCGGCTGCAGGGACACATGGCAGAGCCTGGGGAGTCTCCGGCCACCCCGCAGGAGGGGCAGGAGCCGGCCCGGCTTTCCCCCAGCACTCACTGGGCTCCAGCCAGCCGACAAGGGCAAACCACAGCAGTAACTGGCACAGGCAGGACAAACGCAAAGGCTTCTCTCTTGCCCCAGGAGCTTCCCAGAGGTCTTGCAGGTGGAAACATGGACAAATATAAATAGCTCTGGGAGGAAAACTGCTGAGAAACCCTGCAAACCCCTGGGTTTCAGCGTGGCAGGTTTGACCAGGATGGAGCGGGCTGTGGTCCCTCCCGTCAGGTGCCTGGCATGCAGCTGAGATAACGACATGCAGGGCCCACTAATGAAACAGAGCCTAAAACTGTGCTGCTAGCAGATGCACTGTCCTCGCAATTACTCACCCTGCACGATCCTCCATCCCGATGTTCCAGGCGCTAAATTAAACTAATCCCTGAAATCATAAATTTAAGGTTGGTGGAAAAATATAATTGAACCTGCCAGGTCGCCTGTGGCATGGGGACGGCAGGAGCCCTTCCCTGTGCCAGCCTCAGGGCTGGCACTGGTGTCCCGGGAGCATGCCGGGCAGCCGGCCCTGGTCCCCAGGAGGGACAACCGGCCGGGGTCAGCCTCTGCCCCCCATCACAAACCTGCCCCTCCTTCGCCCAGAGCCACGGGCATCTCCCGGCTGCAGGGGGGCCAGGCCTGCTGCAGAGCTCGTAGCTGCGAGACCTGCGCTGGCAGCCTGGGATGAAGGGGGTTTTTCCCAGAGAACTGCAGATGGATGTGGAGGATCCTGGTGCCCAGGGCCTGGCGGGCAGAGCCTGGCAGGGCTGGGTGCTGCCAAACTGCAGGCACACTGGCAGGGAGCAGGCAGCACTCCTCCGGGCACCAGGACCGCTGCAAAATCCCCAGGGTGGAGAGAAGCCAGAGAGGAGCCCAGCAGATGGGGAAGCCGTGAACACCCCCGGTGCCGAGGAGATCACCTCCCCTTGGCGCAGCGCGGGAGGTGCCGAGTGAAGGATTTTCCTGGCACAGGGAGCCAAGAGCTGCTCTCCGCACTGCGACCCGCAGACCTGCTGGCACAGGGCACAGGGACACGTTCCGGGCTGGGAACCACCGCCCCGGTGCATCCCGCATCCCTTTCTCTCCCCCATCCCATGTGAGGCTACGGGGGCCAGCACAGACCTCTTGCTGATACTCCCGGCAGTCCAGGCCACCTTCTCAGGGTGGGAGGAAGGATGTGGCCCCCCCATCCCACTATCCCTCTGCCCTCCCCTGCCCGCGGTGGCGGGGGGTTGCTGTGGGCGCAGGGCACGCATGGGGAGAGATGGGGCTGCGCGTGCAGGAGCTGTGACACTGCCAGAAACGCTGAAAACACAGAAAAGGCTTTTTCCTTTCTTTTTTCTGCAAAAGAGATTGGAGATTTCGCAGACAGCTGAAACACCCCTGCAAGATGCCAAACCTCTGCTGCTGTCGTTACGCGTGAGAAATCCCCACCCCTGCGCACCCACCCAGCAGCTGTGGGTGGCCAGTGAAGCAGCCGTGCTGTGCCGTGCCGTGCCGTGCCTTGCGGTACCACACTGTGCTGTGCCATACTGTGCCAGGGAGCACAGGCACGCACTGGGGCAGAAACGGCGAGCTTTGATTAGAGCGGTGCTGGCTCCGGTCCTGGGGGAAGGTCAAGAGCCACGTCTGCAGGTCTGGCATTAAAATACAAAACAAAGGAGCAGGTGAGGAGGAGCGCAGGGCGAGGAGGGCTCACGCCGGGCGTGGGAGCGTGGCGGCGTGGCTGGCACAGCCCCATCCCTGGGGAGGCGAAGCCCGGCCGTCCCTGTGCCAGCAGCAGGCTGGGAACGTGGCTGCGGGAGAGGCAGGTTGGCAGTCCTGCCCCTGGAGCACTTCGGGAGCTGAGGGGCGCAGAGCTGCTACCATCCTCCCTGGTTTTCCCAGTATTTTCTTCCCAGCAAGGCCCTTCCCCAGCTTCCCACCTGGGGAAGAAACTCCCCCTTGCACCCCAGCCACCCTGCTCACCTCCAGCGCTTGCATCTCCTCCCGGCACAGCCGCTGCTCGGTGGGGGCAGCTGGGCTGGGGGTGGCACTGCACCCCCCAGTGCTGGAATCCCCCCGTAGGACGTGGGGCACGGCCACCACCACGGCCACTGCCACTGCGACTGTGCTGGCCAGGTTGAGGAGCAGGGCCAGCAGGACCCACGGGACGTGGTGAGGGGACACCGCGCAAGGCAGGCTCCCTTCCCAGACTTCCCTCCAGACCACTGCGGCCCCCAGCCCCACGCGGGGCGAACCGCAGACCCCTCTCCTCCTTTACCCTCAGAAGAAGGGATTTGCCCCGGGCTCTGCGCTGTACGTTGTGGGTCACCGAGTCACCAGTCCCCCAGGAAAGCCCCCCGTGCCACTCGCATCCACCCAGCAGCTACAGCTGTGCTTCGCGCTCAGGACACAGAAGTCTCTGGAGGTGACAAACTGTGTGAGGAAAGCCAGCCTGGGGACAAAGCCAGCCTGGGGACAAAAGCCCCGCATGGCCCAGTCCATACAGACCAGCCCCACAGCCACCCCCAGCATGGCCCGGTCCATGCTGCAGCCGCGACCAGGACCTCGTGGCAGTGACCAGGTAGGACAGCGAGGACTGCTGGCCAACGCTGATGTTGATGATGGTCGTGTCCGTGCCCGTGCCTGTGGTGCACACCTCCACACCGTCGACCCACACTGCACCCCGTCTGGAGCCGAGGGGTCGGTGCCGGCTGGGCACTGGCCACGGCAGCGCCTGCCTGGCCACAGAGCCGGCTCCTGGGCAAGGCTGGGGTCACCCCCCGATGGCGGGAGGCTCAGCATCTCCCCCAGCACCAGCCCCTCGCTCTGACTGCGCCTGGGCTGCAAAACCTGGGACCCACCAGAGCTGGAGCAACTGCAGCCCGAGGAGGCAACGCCGAGAGAGCTGATGCTGCCTGTGCCCAGAGCACCGTCCTCCCATCGTGGTGGCTGCAGACCCCCTCCCAGACCCTGGGAGAGATGAGGACCCTCGCCCAGGGCTGATCCCTTGCAGCTCCCTCCCTGCTGCCTCCGCAGCAGCACAGGGATCCTCCATGCCGGCCCCTGCCGGGTCCATCCACCCACCAGCTCCCAGGGTGGCCAGGGCCCCTCTCACCCAGCTCCTCCTGCCTTGGCGAGTCCCATGGGGTCTAGGGGGGGTCGGCAGCCCTGCAAGGGATGTGCTTCGGCATGCTCCTCCCCACGGGCACCGTGCCCGTGCTGCTGCAGAGCCCTGTCCTGTGATGCCCGGTGCCAGGCGCTGCCAATGCTTGGCACTGGCTGCCTCTGCTGCGGGCTCCTGGGCATGTCCACATCGGAGGGGGTCTGGGCACAGCCCCCAGCCCATGGTGCCCAGGACCCCCTGGACTCCCACGTTGGCAGAGCAGGGTGGCAGGGCTGGACATGCTGACCGGGGCATGGACAGACAGACAGGTGGGGGGGCCCTTGGTCCAGGCCCACCGCAGACAAGCCCCCATCCTGTGCCGCTGGAGCAGAGGAGCATCTGCCGACGCCAGAGGACCAAGCCCACCACAAAAGCAAGCCAGCGCTGGATGAAGGGACCCCCTGGGAGACAGCCCTGCAGAGCGTGGCAGTCCCACCAGGCACAGGCAGCCAGGGGAGGGTACTCGGTGGGCAGCACCATCTGGAGCGGGGACCCCACCAGGCACTGACCCCCAGTGTCCCCCCTGAAACCTCCTCCCCCACAGATGGGTGCTTAGAGAGACCCGGGAGACAGGCAGCCCCTTCCAGAGACACCTGGAGAAGATGCCCTGTGACAACCGGAGGTACCCCCGCCATCATCCTGTAGCCACGCACAGCGTGTGGCCCTGTGGGGGTCCAGAGCCCCCGTCAATCATCAGTCGGTGGGGCACTAGTTATAACAGCCGTGCTCACATGGGATGGCAGCACGCCCGCCGCTCCACTGCCACGTACCGAACCGCTCCAGCTCCCCTCCTCCCCTCCCCAGGGGGGCCGTGGTCCATATGCTGCCCTACTTCACACCAGCCCCCCCGTGCTCCGCTCCCGGGGGAACGGGAGCTTCCCAAGGGCTGACAGATGTGCTACAGCCTGGAAACCCTCTTCCTCCCACCGTGACCTGCACCACCCATGCTGACCTCCATGCTTCTCCACGTGGGCATCCCAAAGGCATGAATTGAGGATTTTTATTTTTCTCAGTTTCTAGTACACAGGTCAGGCTGCTTCAGCACGCTCAGGGTACGAGGAATTTAAGACCCAGTAGCCAGAAGCATTTCATCAAGCATAAAGAGACATACTGCAAACATTCACACTCATATGATCTCATCGAGAAGGAGCAAACCCCCCTCGGTTTTGCAGGCAGCCTCATGCCTCCCCATCTGCCCGTGACCCCCTGATCCAGAGCTGTTAGGCAGGGCGAGAACGTTTCAGGAGGAACTGGGGCAGTCGGATCAGGAGAAGCCGGTGCTCAGCACCGCAGCGGCGCGGCAGGAGAGTTTCCAGGCCAGTGCTCGGGGGGGCCGCTGGGGATTTATGGCGGTTATTACACAGACGCTTCCCCTCTCGCTGGTTTCTGTGCCACCTCCGAACGTGACACACGCTGCGGCCCCAGGTGGCTTTTTTGGGATGCCCTAGTTGTGCCGCCATACCGCAACGTGCCGGGTGTACACGTGGTTCGGCCACCGGTAACCAGGCCAAGAGCCGGTCACACGCAGAGGGGCTGGGGAGCACGGGACCGTGAAGGGGGGGCTCACCCGGACACGAACGCTCATTTGTGCTTTATGATTCAAAAAATCATGAAAAGTCCAAAACGCACTTTCTTCTTTCTTTGCCGTTCAGAATGAATTCATGAGGCTGGGAGACATTTTCCCAATTATATTTCTGGAATGAGCCCAGAGCTGGAAGGGTCAAGGGAATTTAAGACACTGAAGTGTCCATCATCCTCTTAATACCCTTAAAGACACAGATTTCTGGGCCTACACTTTCTTAATGCTAAAAATTACAGCAATTACTTCACTGTGAACAAAGTATTGAAGGAAGAGGAGAGGCTGGACATGGCTTGCCCAAAGTCATAACCTGGTACGCGTGGAGTGAGCGGCCTCTAGACAGCCATTTTGCAGAGCAGTTGTCACCCAGAAGGACCCGCAGGCTCTTCCAGGTGATGGGGTTGAGGTCTGGAAAGGACATTTTCTCCAATTTTCTAGTAAGCTGAAAAAATCAGACCATCACCAGGGTGATGCCTGCAGTGGTGCCAGCTGGAAGGAGAAATCTGTCTCCGGAAGGTCAGTGGGACGGAGCAGGTAAAGCTGCCGAGCTCAGGGAGGAGCCAGAGCTGCTCTGCTCTGTCAGACGCCGAGGTAGGCTCGCCTCCATCACAGGACAGACCAGGGCGACAGCAGCAGAGGCCTGCCTCGTAAAGGAGATGCTCATGTTTACCCTGAGACAGCAGACGATGCACAGACCCTCTCTAGCGCGCGACCCTTGTGTCTGCACGTCAGTTCTCATCCTCAGGGCTCTCGCGGATCCCACATCTCCCCCAGGCAGCTGCAACAAGCAGAGGCATGCACCTCCGTTCCTACAGCAGCTGCAGTGCAAAGCAACCGCCGTTACACAAAAGCTAACCAGATCGGTCAAATAAGCCCAAAGGGGATCAAAGATGGAGAGTGACGTTGCAGTCGGTTACGCAGTTCCCCAGTTCCATCGCAGTCAGTTACACACTTCCCCAGTTCCATCGTTGGCTTTCCCCAGCATCACCCCTCCTGTTTACCGGGGACACCGCACAGCCCTCTGTCACCAGACCCAGACAGGGAGGGGAGCTGCCCCCAGGGCCAGCTGGACGTGGGGGAGGCCTTCCTGCAGCCAGCTTCCAGCTTTCCCTAAGAAAACCCAGTTACCAAGGCAGCTGGTGGCCAGGGATGCTGGAAGCACCAACACTGTTTCTCAGTAGAACACAACCTCATCCCAGGAACAGTATCCACTAGGACTTCCCAGTATAAGAGTCTCCTGATCTGGGGGGGAAAAAAACCCCAAACGATAGTCTTCACGATCAGCCCAAAATTTTTCATGACAAACTGCGCCCCATTTGTATTATTTTGGCATTGCCAGGGTTAATCATAGAATCCTGGAATGGTTTGGGTTGGAAGCCACCTTAAGGATCATCTAGTTCCAACACCCCTGCCATGGGCAGGGACACCTTCCACTAGACCGGGTTGGTCAAAGCCCCATCCAACCTGGCCTTGAACACTGCCAGGGATGGGGCATCCACAGCTTCTCTGGGCAACCTGTTCCAGTGCCTCACCACCCTCACAGTGAAGAACTTCTTTCTAACATCAGATCTAGATCTACCCTCCTTCAGTTTAAAACCGTGTTGTGGTTTAACCCCAGCGAGCAACTAAGCACCACACAGCCACTCACTCACTTCCCCCCCACCCAGTGGGATGGGGAGAGAATCGGGGAAAAAAAGTAAAACTCATGGGTTGAGATAAGAACCGTTTAACAGAACGGAAAGGAAGGAAATAATAATGATAATAATAACAACACTAGAATGACAATAAAAACAATAAAAGAATTGGACAAGTGATGCACAATTGCTCACCACTTGCCGACTGATGCCCAGTTAGTCCCTGTGCAGCGATCCCCTCACAGCCCAGCTCCCCCCAGTTTATATACTGGGCATGACATCACATGGTATGGAATACCCCTTTGGCCAGTTGGGGTCAGCTGCCCTGGCTGTGTCCCCTCCCAACTCCTTGTGCCCCTCCAGCCTTCTTGCTGGCTGGCCATGAGAAGCTGAAAAATCCTTGACTTAGTATAAACACTACTTAGCGACAACTGAAAACATCAGAGTGTTATCAACATTCTTCTCATACTGAACCCAAAACAGCACTATACCAGCTACTCCCTCCCAACCTTATAGCGGCCTTCCAGTACTTCAAGGGGGCTTATAAGTTCTCCCCAGAGCCTTCTCTTCTCCAGGCTGAACAACCTCAACTCTCCCAGCCTGTCCTCATCAGGGAGGTGCTCCAGCCCTCTGATCATCTTCATGGCCTCCTCTGGACTAGAGCCCTCACAAGGTCTCCTCCTCCCTGTGCTCCCACCACAGTGCACACAGCAGGGAGGCAGCACCTCCATCACCATGACAGGGGACAATGCTCCGTGGGACTGGCTACAGCAGTATGGAAGACATACAGGATGGCAAAGCCTGCGGTACCGAGTCCCTCTTCTCAAGACAGAGAAAATCACATCTCTCACAGGGATATGAGCCTTGTGCCCGCTTCATGTGGGGTACCAGAGAAGAAAAAGAGGAGGACAGTGTCACAATCGGCAACAAAAATAGATCAATTGAATGAAAAATAGCTCAGTTGTTTCAAAACTGTTGGGTATTTTTGGCCAAAGATCACACTTCCCTACCTCCCACACTGGCGAGATCTCAATTAGCCTTTGTGTAATTAGTTTTCCCCAGAAGATGAGATTTCATTACATGAATACCAATAAGGGAATACAGGGCACATGTTGGAGGGATGCCACAAAGCATGAGACCCACGTGCTCGCACGGATGCGCCACCTCCTCCCGCTCTGGAGTGTGCTGGAGACGATGCGGGCTCACCGCTGCACTGCAGTGCCCGCTTGGTGTAGGTGTGCGCTGCGAGGCAGAGCTGGGACCCTCTGCCAGGCTGGCAAAGGATGCCTCACGGGCAAGATCGTGATGCATTGGCCGAGTGCTGATGTTGCAAGGACACCTTGTCAGACAGAAGGGCCTGCGCAAAAGCAGAAAGGCTCGCTCAGGAGACTGCAAAGTCTGGAGGAAAAAAACCCCACGCTTGGACAGCTGGAAAGAAGTAGGTCTTGACTATTCAGTCACACTCAGAGAAGACCCTAAAAAGACACAGAAGGCACAGCAACAAAAACCCCTCAGTGACACAGATAAACTCACAGCAGCCAGAGGGTTATGAAGGTTCAATCTCCATCTCATTTGCATACAAAGAAATTTCCCTCTGAAATTATTGATGGAGTTTTTCCAGCTGCAAACGCTACTTTACCAAAACAGCATGGATAAAGCTAAGGGAAGGCTCAGTTGAACTTGAAGACAGACCAGAGTGGTGCCTGGCAGTGTCCCCTGGGAATCGCAGAGCATCCTTTTGCTCTCAGAGATAACCAGCTACACTCAATCAATAAAACAATCTGGTCATCACAGATGACATGAAGGACTCCATTAGTGCCAAATGACAGAAGTGAGACAGCACCACCAGGTTTCGCCAGTACAGCCCGCAGGATGGTCTGTCAGTGGGAAGGAGCTGCGGCATGAATCCAGCATATGGGACCGAGGTGGTCATCCGTAATAGCTGCAGACAGGGACAGTGGTGGGCCCGAGGCAGCCTGGAGCACACAGGTTCTCTCCAGAAGCTACCGAGATGCAACCAGGAGGCTCTGCAGGTCCTTTTTGCACCTGAAGGAGAGAAAGAGAAGGGGCAGGTTGAGCAGTGTCCGCACTCAAGTGTTGAGTGGAACTGATCCTGCAGCAGGGACAATGGTCTGTGCTGTAAAATGGAGGAGCTGCGGATGCAAACTGACATGCCACAGCCTGGGGCAGCCAAAGGGCGAAAGCTGCGCTTGCGGGAAGAGGAAGGTTGGGCTTTTAAAACCACTTATCCCATTTTCTCCAGCAGCCAGGGCACTGCTCAGCTCGGGTGATTTAGTAGCTGCCCTTCCCAAAGCAGCCCTCTATGCCTTAAAAGGAAACATCCCTTTGGTTAAACACTGAACCCGGGCCCCAAAAAGAAGCATAAAGTCATAAAAGGCCTGAGTAATGGAAGATTTTCTCTTAAAAGAAAGAAACAGCTGGCAGAAGAGATGAGGGAGTTTACAGGGCCATTGCGCATTTTGTTATTCTTTTGATTACAAGGTTTTTGACTGCAGTTATGGAACAGGCGGAAAAAAACTGCATCTGGTGTGAAGGCACCAGCTGGAGCAACTCAAACCCTCCTCCAAAGGGGGAGAGCTGAGAACCGCGGCAACTGCGCTGCACCGTGAGCAGAGGGATCGGCTCCAAAGGATGGCGTTAAAGGAGACAGTAAAGCTCAGCTTCACGCCTCCGTGCTTTGAAAGCACCTGATGTACACGGCAAGGTGATGAAGGCAAAGGACAATCAACCTGGTTTCATGCCGAGCACGAGCAAAGTGCTGCCTCTTGGGTCTAGAGAGGATCAGTTTAAAGGGATGGTTTAGGAACAAGTGAAGTTTGGTAAGACAGGACAAATAACCCCATTTCTGTTGCTTGGCGGGTACAAGGTTTCCAGGAGGCTGCTTTAGTTTTGGAGGGGGGTGACAGCAAACAATTTTTTCCTCATAAACAAGAAACAGGTCTTCCGCTAAGAAATACAACAGCAAAAGGTCTCACAAGAAACACAGCAGACTTGTGGAAACACGTTTGACACTTTCCAGACGTGTCCAATCCTTGTGTTTGCGTTTCACAAGGTGCACCACAACCCAGCCCTTTTGCAACTAAAATCTTCAAAACACATTTTTCCCCTCCGGCCTGCTCCGATGGCAGTCCTCACCACGATAGTGAAAGGAATGCAGGACAACAGCTCAAGGCCACAGAAGTATCACAGAGGTTTATTTTGAAATGCCACATCTGATAAACCCCTCTGCTCTGGGAGGTGGCCGTTCAGATGGGACCTGCCCACTGCTGGGCACAGGCAGGCACGCTGCCAGCCAGCGGTCACCAGCCAATGGCACCTGCCTCTGACTCACCGGTGAGAGGCCACAGGGGCAGCTGGCTGACATGAAGCCAGTCTCCAGAGATATCCACAAGTGTTTTCTTTGCAGGGAGCTCTCCCACAAGGGAATAGGGTGGCATGCACCTTCACAGGAAGCCACACAGCACATTTCTTCTTTGGTTTACCACTTTGTCAGAGCCCCTGTGCATGGCCGCGCTTAAGTCAGCTGGCAAAACCCTGAGGAAATGTACAACTGCTCCCTGCCTCATCTTAATGGGTGAGCAGCAGTCAGGATGTGCCCATGAGACAGGCCAAAGGCATAAAAAATGAGAGGAGGTCAAAAACCAACACAGATGTCAGGAGTCACCTGAGGCAGAGGGACAACAAGAGAGAACATCCCTGCACCATCTGTTTCACTCCATGCTCACCCAATTCTTCCACAGAGCAAGCACTCCTGGGCCCCTTCTCCCGAAAGGGATCGGCTGGAAGAGTTTCCATGAGAGGAACAGCAGGCTGGGAGGCTTCAGCTGCGGGGAAGAAGTTGTCAGGAAGGTGAAGGAGCTCTGCTAAGTCACACATGGCTGGAGAGGGCAGAGGAAGATCGCCTGCGTGTTCACTGCCTCTCCAGCACAGGAAGAGGGGCCACCAGGTGAAGCAAGCAGGACCTCATTTCAAAACTCAGGGTCGAGAGCGATGTGTTCAGAGGCGAGAACCTCACTGCAGGCTAATAACGACGCAGAAGCAAGTATCTGTGAGTAAGTCTCACCGTGCCAAAAGCCAGAGATGCAACCAATGTGATCTCTGGCAATATTGTGAGCAGCTGCTTTTGCAGAGCATTTAGGTATCTCCAGCCTCCTCCTTTAAAAGGGATGGCCTTTCAGAGGCTGCAGACCTGCTGCTGCCTCCTCCAGAGAACTGGGTTATCCCAAAGGCCAGGTCTATCTCAGGCTCCAGCACAGGGAGGATCTCTCCAATTCTTGCCACCACCAGACCACACATCCCCTATGAACATGAAGATTTTGAGATTGGCACCTTAAAAAACAGAATGAGAGACGTCCGCCTGGTTCACCCTCACTGTTGTGATAACGGCATCACCGTGCTCTTCAGGAACAGAAATAACACAGCTTGGCACGTGCAACAGTGAATTCTCTCCTCCTTTCCCTGCTGGGACACACTGTAACATAGCATGGAAAAGCTCCTGCAGGTGAGCCTCTGGAGAGGATGCCTACGCCCGCCATGCCCTGAAGGTGAGGGCGAGCTCCTGAGGGACAGCGTAGGAGCACGACGGGGGGGCTCAAGACACTCAGGACCGCCCCGCTGCTGATCCAGGAGATGCTGAAGACACAGACTACCCCATCATGTGTCTGCTCGCACTACTTTTGTGCGGAGGCTCTGAACAGTTAATTAGCTGCGCTGTAAAATACAATTTGCTGCTCTATGCAACCCCCCTGCAGCCCATTTCTGGACAGAGCAGCATAAAACCTGCGGGACCCTCCCACCACAGCAGACTCTCTAACCTCCACAGGCTTGAGCAGCTCCGCTTAACTACCGTGTTTATCTGGCCACCTCAGCCATTTCCTTGGTACTCACTTTCCTATCGCCTCTCCTGTGGCAGAAGCGGGCTTGTCAACACCACAAACTCTGCCCCAGTTGCTGCCCGGCAAGAGGAAGCATCGGCCTGCGCTCTCCCACAGCCATTTATCACCTGCGCCACACTCTGCATGTGGCTGATAACTTAATCTGCTACGAAACATAAACACCCGCTCAGAAGTTTTGTTTCAAAGGTTCCTTTGATTCCAGACATCCTTGTGTTGTTTCCTTTTATAGAAACATAGGAATTTTTCTTTTAAAACTAGAACAGTTTTCCAAATCCTCAGTGAGCCCGAGTCTATAACCCAGCAGCTGGTGCATACAGCTCTGCATGAGCTGTGACAGTAAATGCTCCCGTACTCCAGGAGCACATCAGAGTCACACAAGGGATCACTGTCTCGGCATCTCAGATTTTAAAATGCTGCTAAAGCACTCTACGACCACAGCTTTGACTCAGTATTACCAATAAAATGGCAAATACGATGCTTTTAACAGCCAAGCGGGTTTAGGGAGAGCTTCTGTTGCTGCCAAGATGCGCTTCAAACTCCCACTGGGGAACTGTCACGTACGCACTGAGTCAGCTTGCTGCCCTGCATCCACTCCTGGTGAAACCGTTCTGCTTCTAAAAGGCCCTTGTGCCCTTCTGTGTCACCTGTGATGGCACCTGGCCTGCCTGCCACATCCATGTTGTCTTCTGGGGCTCTGGCTTTTGAAGATGAGCTCTTAATCCCCCAAAACCACGAGCTTTGCTAGGCTTGCACTACGTTTTCTTGAGAGACACCCCTGACCTTCCTCAAGGCTGTGGCTATGGCGATCCTACAAAGGGCCCCATGAAACTGCCCTGTATAACGTGATTAACAGTGCTAATGCGGAGGGAGGACAGCACACGTCCTCCGGGACTCTTCCCGCACAACCACTGGGCCACACACATGGGCAGATTTGAAACAGCTCCTTCCAAGGCTTCATCCAGGGGCGAGGAGGCTCCCGGTTCTAACTTCTAGCAACTTGACCTGCGCCTGCCTCCTCCAACCGCCATCACATCCCTCCCTGCTACTTCAAGCCGCCCCCACCCCTCTCTCTGCCCTCAGCGGGGTCTCCGGACCCTGCGAACGCTCCCGAGGCTGCCGTGCCGTGCCGTGCCGTACCGGCCGGGCCCTCAGCACCCCTCCCGCAGGCTGGCGGGGCTGCCAGCAGGCCGGCCCCGCCCGCCCAGCACAGACCCTGCTGGGCCTCGCCCGCCCGGCAGGGCCCTGCCGTCCCCCCGCAGGGGCCCGGGCCGGCGGTGCCGCTACTTGGCCGGGCTCCAGCCCGAGGGAGGGGAGCGTCCCGGCGGGGCCGGCCGGAGAAGGGCCCGGGAGGGGGAGAGGGGCGGCCGGGCCGGGGGTTAAGGCAGTCCCCGACGCCGCGGGGCGGTCCTCCCGGCTAGGCCGCGTTGCCATAGCGACAGCGGCCGCTCTAGCCGACCATAGAGCGGCGGCCCTCGCGACGCCTGCGCGCCCCGCCTCCCTCCGAGGGGCGGGGCGGGGTCGCTATGGTGATGGGGCGCGAGGGGGCGTGGCCTACAGGGCGGGGCG